AGTTCCAAGGCTCAACAGAAAGATCAGAAAGTGGGCAGTGGCCCAATTCCAGGAAATCCCCACCCTTCCCCAAAATAGCTGGAATACTCCTACTCACTCAGTTCAGCACAGTGACTCTTTGTGACCCCATGGACTGCAGCACACCAGCCTTCCCTGTCCATCACATTGGGCTATGAAATTCAGTTCAGTTCAGTCACTCAGTTGTGTCCAACTCTTTGTGACCCCATGGACTGCAGCACGCCATGCTTTCTAGTCCATCACAAACTCCTGGAACTTACCCAAACTCATGTCCATTGAGTTGGTGATGCCATGTAACCATCTCATCTTCTGTTGTCCACTTCTCCTCCCACCTTCAATCTTTCCCAGCATCAGAGTCTTTTCCAACGAGTCAGTTCTTCGCTTCAGGTGGCCAAAGTATTGGAGCTTCAGCTTCAGCATCAGTCCTTCCAATGAATATTCAGGACTGATTTCCTTTAGGATGGACTGGCTGGATTTCCTTGCAGGCCAAGGGACTCTCAAGAGTCTTCTCCAACACCACAGTTCAAAAGCATCAATTCTTTGGCGCTCAGCTTTCTTTATGGTCCAACTCTCACATCCATACATGACTACTGGAAAAACCATAGCTTTGACTAAACGGACCTTTGTTGGCAAAGTAATGTCTCTGCTTTTTAATATGCTATCTAGGTTCGTCATAGCTTTTCTTCCAAGGAGCAAGCATCTTTTACTTTCATGGCTGCAGTCACCGTTTACAGTGATTTTGGAGCCCCCCAAAATAAAGTCTCTCAACTGTTTCCATTGTTTACCCATCTATTTGCCATGAAGTGACGGGACCAGATGCCATGATCTTAGTTTTCTGATTGTTGAGTTTTAAGCCAACTTTTTCACTCTCCTCTTTCACTTTCATCAAGAGGCTCTTTAGTTCTTGTTCGCTTTCTGCCATAAGGGTGATGTCATCTGCATATCAGAGGTTATTGATATTTCTCCCGGAAATCTTGATTCCAGCTTGCCCTTCGCACATCCTGGCATTTTGCATGATGTACTCTTCATAGAAGCTGAATGAGCAGGGTGACAATATTCAGCCTTGATGTACTCCTTTCCTGGTTTGGAATCAGTCTCTTGTTCCATGTCCAGTTCAAACTGTTGCTTCTTGACCTGCATACAGATTTCTCAGGAGGCAGGTAAGGTGGTCTGGTATTCCCATCTCTAAGAATTTTCCAGTTTGTTGTATCCACACAGTCAAAGCCTTTGGTATAGTCAATAAAGCAGAAGTAGATGTTTTTCTGGAACTCTCTTGCTTTTTCTATGGTCCAACAGATGTTGGCAACTTGATCTCTTGTTCCTCTGTCTTTTCTAAATCCTGCTTGAACATCTGAAAGTTTCTATACTCTGTACATCATGTACTGTTCAAGCCTGGCTTGGAGGATTTTGAGCATTACTTTGCTAGCGTGTGAGATTGTGCAGTAGTTGGAACATTCTTTGTCATTGCTTTTCTCTCGGATTGAAATGAAAACTGACTTTTTCCATTCCTGTGGCCACTGCAGAGTTTTCCAAATTTGCTGGCATATTGAGTGCAGCATTTTGACAGCATCATGTTTTAGGATTTGAAATAGCTATTGTCAACTAAAAACAGATGTACAACTTGAGAGCTGTGAGTTAAGTTTTATTTGGGGCTAAATGAGGACTGCAGCCCAGGAGGCAGCATCTCAGATAGCTCTGACAGACTGCTCCAAAGTGGCAGTGGGGAAAAGTCAATATATAAGGTTTTCTTGAAGGGAGTTCAATGCCATGAAGCACTCATTTTACAAAAGGTTTGTGTTAGTCATGAGGATCTGATGTCACCAGGAAGGGATTTAGTGCTTCTCTAGATATGAGGAGACACAAGGATTGAGATCATAAAATCTGTTCCTAAAAACATCCAACTATCTGAAGACCTGTCCCACCAGATTCCCTGGAGCACAGAGTGCCTCACTGCACCCTGAACCCCCTTCAGGGATTGTTGAAGGTCAACAGCTATAGCAGCATGGGGTTCAGTCTCTGTAGATGCAGATGGCTAATGCCTTTTGTTTAGTCATTGGCAGTGCTCTTGGTAAGTGCCTATTTGTAGTTGACACAGCCCCCTTGTGGTCATAAATCTGACCATACTTAGCGGGGCATTTCATGACCATTTTGTCCTGCATTGCGGGGAGGGCTCTTTCCCAGTTCTGAAGAAGGTTTTGGTTGATAAGACACTCAATGTGCTATTACGGGACTAGGTCTTAATAGTCAAAGATCTCTGGACACCTGCCTTCTAGTGATGGTCCAGGAAAGTATTCCCTCTCAATGCATCTTTTCATACCTAGAGTTACACTATTACAATCATTGATCATTTATCGAGCTATACATTTGATCAACTGCTTCAAGTCTAGTCATCATTTTCGTTGGAGGCTCAGTCATACACTTGGTAATACAAGAAATAATAATCTTGTGAAACAAGCAAAATACAAATGGTATAGTGAATAACATTAGTGGAATTAAAAGTAAATATTTTAGCCATGAGCCTCCCACACACAACCAGTTTTTTTTTATTTTAAAGATCATCAACACTAGGGAATGGGTCACTTAAAGCAGAAATCTGATTTTTCATGTGGTTCATCAAATGTGTTACATTAAAGGATTTATCAGGTATGAAAATAAAGCATTCACTTTGAATTATAAGACAGGTATCTTTCCGAAATGCTGTAAGGTGTCAAGGGCCTTGCAGTTGTGTAGCACTGCCTTTCTCATCATAGACATCTCACAATTCAATAGGCTAAGAGTCTGGTTACTATCATTTAAAGCTTATGACAGTTGTTAAGGCTTCGATATGGTCAATTACATCCTCCAACCCTATTGAAGGGGCACACACACAACACACAAGCTGCTAAATGGTCATACCAGTAGAATACAGATCTTTGACCCACTGGGATCATACCAATGGTAGATTAGTTGGGTTTACCTCGAATTTGTTAACATGTATGACCTTAAATTCATGGGAATCCCAGGCTACACCTTTGTATCCATCCCTGTAGATGTCAGGCCATAAATCAGTGCCACAAATCCACTGAGTTCCATACCAATCACTATCTCTAAGAGTAATAGTAAGCATAGTTCATAAAGCACCCAGCCTTGTCTCATAATTACCAGGTTGATCATCTTTAGTATGATTTATCCATTCCCAACATAGAGGAATCTTTAAACTTAAATGACCATAGCCTGGTGTTAACCATGTAAATCCACCCTATAATTGTGAGAGTTTTCCTTTTAATAGATGAGAGGCTCATTCTTTTATTGAGACTTAGCTTGTCACTCTGATTAAGTTTGAATGACCCTAAGAGAAAACTTAAATCTATGGCCAGCATCAGAGCAGGTATTATTAATTGGCCATGGGAGAGGATCTCATCTAGTTATATCATGAATAGATAGTACAGAAATGAACACTCATCAAAAATAAATTTCCTAGAGGGTATCCAATCAGAGCCCTAAAGAGCAGAAACCCACCAAGGTAACCCAGAAGTACTAGGCACAAGTATTTGGCCACAACCCAACAATCGGATTGAGTTTTAAACTAGAATAGAATCCTGTCCATGATAGAAAACATTTGATTGATAGTCTTAGGTCCAAGGAATCAAGAAAACATTATAAATGATCGGAAAAGTCAGATCAGCATCTTGGGCAAGCAGTCTACTTCTGATGTTGTCTGCTCATCCTCCTGTAGCATAGTTTCCTCTGTTTGAGCATTGTTTTGAGGTGAGTTTGAGGTCAGCAGGCCCCTCTGTAGACCATCCAAGCTTAGGGGCCTTTGGAAGTGGGAGTTAACCCAAGCGTCAATTTCCCTTCAGTTTCCCTGGGCATGAGCTCGTCAAGAGTGCCTGATAGAAAGGTCCTTCCAGGTTGGAGACAGTTCCTTAAATTATGTCTTCTTCCAGTCTTGATTGCAGGTCATGTGTGAGGCATCTGATCTTCATCCAAAGACAGATTACTGAGATAAGCTTCAAAAACAACCCTAGAGTGTCCTTCAATAATTCAATTAAATTTTACATTAATATACCCTAACAGCAAAGAAATATCCAGGAAATGAGTCTTAGTAGATACAGACCTCCATTAACAAACTGAAATGTAACATTCATTGAAACATCTTTTTCTCCCTAAAATCCCTGTCATTTTTACCAAATATAACCAAGCTAAGACCTGTTTGTAATATGAGTCTGGTCTCAATAAACTTGGCCTGATGACTTATATAACCATAATTGATCATAGACTTTTTTGCTTTGCTGAGACTTTGAGAGAGTCTCAGGCTGAACTTTTAAAATAAAACCTTTCAGATCTAGGAAAGACATGCCAAAGGCTTATCACAGATTTTGACTAACAGATCTAAGTAAATTCCTCCCTTCTCAAGGTCTCCAAAATTCCTTGAGATTTCTGTACCTGTTATTGAGATAACCTTCCTAACTTATCTGATAAAGTTACTGGAAACCAAGAGCTCCCAATTTCTGGAGGGTTCAGATAGAGAGAAAAGATAAATGTTTCAATTTGTTTATAAAATACAATTTTACCAGATTACTGTCATAATTAGTGTGAGAGGAAGGTTTATTTTTTCCTTACCCCTGGAAAACACAGATTCAAATCAGTAATTTTTCAGATAGAAACCATAAAAGTTATAAGCATATTCACCAGTTCATTCAGTCCTTTTGTTAACCTTTGTGAAGTCATGAGGTTTTCTATTATAATCCTTACCCAGTTCAGAAACTGGTATTTATCCAAAAGTCCTTTTCATAAATCTTCTTGAAGAGGCAAAACTTGGTTAGTGCTATGACAATATTTTGAGATAGTAACTAGAATTATGACTGATAAAATTTTACCCAAACATATCAGAATTTTAAGAACTCCATACACTTTCTAGGATATCTATATTAATAACATTTACCATGACCAACCAAGACAGCATATTAAAAAACCCAAAGAATTGATGGTTTTGAACTGCGATGTTGGAGAAGACTCTTGAGTGTCCCTTGGACAGCAAGGCGATCCAACCAGTCCATCCTAGCAAAATCAGTCCTGAATATTCATTGGAAGGACTGATGATGAAGCTGAAACTCCAATATTTTGGCCACCTGATGCAAAGAACTGACTCACTGGGGGACTCTCTTGGTGGTACGGTGGTTAAGACTTTGCTTTCCAAACCAAGGGGTGCTGGTTTGATCCCTGTTTGGGGAACTAAGATCCCACATGCCTCGTGGCCAAAAAAGCAAATCATAAAACAGAAACAATACTGTAACAAATTCAATAAAGATTTTTAAAATGGTCCACATAAAAAATATATATTAAAAAAAAAAGAACTGACTCATTGGAAAAAAAACCCTGATGCTGGGAAAGATTGAAGGCAGGAGAAGGGGACGGCAGCGGATGAGATGGTTGGATGGCATCACCGACTCAATGGACATGAGTTTGAGAAAACTCTGGGAGTTGGTGATAGCCAGGGAGGCCTGGTGTGCTGCAGTCCATGGGATTGCAAAGAGGCAGACGTGACTGAGCAACTGAAATGAACTGAACATTTACCATACAATATAACTTATATAAATAATTATAACAATATAATAAGTGAGACTTATTACTCACTTGACAATACTTCCCATCTAATTCTGTATACAAAATGAACTTAATTAGTGTAATATCTCTCTTTGGAGTGTTTCAGGAGCCCTCTAAAGCATCCCAAAGTTAGCTAGAAATCTTCATTAGGAGGATTTAGGAAGTTTTGTCAACAAACATCAAAAAGGTTTAGAACACTCAGTCAGATAGGCTTATAGGTCATTGTGAAACAATAGCTATTTACTTAGCCAGAATAACAATAAAGGATTTCAGAACAGATCATTTAACAGATAAAGAAACGTAAATCTATTATCAAAGGCAGTTCAGTATCTGAAGAAAAGGTGTCCTCTTAACAGAGAGAAAAGCTAAATTTAAGTTTTTGGGCCAGCTTACTTTACTTAAAAGGTAAACTTAATTAACTTTATTTTAAACTTAGTCCTAACCATATACAAAACTCTTTCCTTATGGTTCACTTTTCACAAACCTTATCACTTTCTGTACCCATTACTGTGTTCTTCAATCCTAAAAAGCCACCTATAAGTCAGGCTTACTTCCTTTTCCCTTCACAAGATGCAATTCCCTCATACTTCTTTACAGAAAACACACTTCCTACTTCCCTTAAGCAACCAGGAACTGACTTTTATATTAGCATTTTATGGATTGGTGAGCATAAATACCAGTGAAAATTTCTAAAACCTTTGTTTTCTTAGAGAGAACATTTGAGGATGGCACCAAACATCATTCATTTTTAATCCCAAATCTCTTTCGTTTCTCTGTAAGAGGAAATTAGTGTTCAGTAGTAAATGTTTAAAAATCTTATGTTATTTGGAAAATGACTCAGCTATGTAATAGACTTCCAACACTTAGTTTAGCTCAAACAACCCTTAGAAGTGCAAGTTACCCCAATCTGGAGAGACTATTTTAGACAGACATGCCTAAAGCATAATTATTCTTAACAGAGTTTATCTAAAGGCTCATATATCTCATTTATGTCTTTTTAGAAGTTTCTTCCCTCCAGGTAGTTTCTTTGCTGGCACACTTATAACAGATATAATAATATTAAACTTATATTAAAACTAGGTACAATGAAAATATTCTTCTTAATGTTAATTACTCTGAGACATGTCTACATTATTTAGATCAACACATTAACATTAATATCAGATATTTAACACTGAATATTTCCCAGTTCACATGAATCTGAAATTCATTTAGGTTAATTTCTCTTGTATTTAGAATTATTTGATTTGTAAGTGCTTACTTTTTTTTTCAGGCCAATTAGATTAGAACTCATTTACAAACTGACCTCAGCAATCAGCAATATTAGAAAAAAACAAAGACATACACTGAGACATACATATATCCCAATAGACACAAGAGATCCTATAGCTTTGTTTTCCAAACTTAGTTATGAATAAAAAATGGTTAGAATAAGATTTTAAAAGGCTTTGTTTCCCCCTTTTTTTTCTTTTCCCTTTCAGAAATTAGATATAGTCTAGATAAGTGATCCAGAGAGCTCTGTCTAAAGGTATAGGAGGAGTTATTCCCTCAGGGCAAGAATTCTTAAAGAGATAATTTTTTATTGTGACCACCATGTCAAAAATTGTATTTTTTTCTGTGTGTGACCATAGTTTTATAGCCAAAATTTAGATCAGATAGTGCTCAACTTGGTACTGATAACAAGGGCAGATTGGTCCCAGCAGGAATTGTCCCTCTGGGGAAATATGGGTCTTAGTTTGATCAGCCCCTGTCTGTTGGTTACAGGAGGAAGTCCTGGATAAGGGAACTTTAGTCCATTTTCCTAGGCTATGTCAATAAAGATTAATATTTTTAGTTCATTTTTCTTGTCATTGGATCATAGCTGTAGACTGACCAGTCAAAAAAACAAAATCTCCCCCACCCAAGGGGTTCCCAGGTGGAATGTGGAAACTTACAGTGAGTAATTTCCATATTACCTCGAGCAGTTTGTAGCAAATGTCTGTGCACTCAAACCAAATCAACAAAATCAAACCAAACCAGAACTTCACCAGCCAGGAGTCACACTCCAGATGAAGCAAAAGGCAAAGAAATGCCTAGAAATCAAAAGCCAAGTGGCAAGAGTGCCCCCAAAAGATGGTAAAGTGATGCCCAGAAATCAAAAACCAATGGCATAAATGTCAAACGTGACTTTCTGGTTCGACTAGACCTGCGACCTGGCAAAATCAGTGCTAGCAACCTTTTTTTCGTTTTGATATAGTTTCAAGCAATTTCTTGCTGATTTTCTGCAAAGAGGTTACTCTATCATTTCCTCTTTTAGAAGCTTCTAGATACCAGTCAAAATAAGCACGGCCAGCCTTTTCTAATTGTGTGCACAAAGAATAGCCATTTTAGAATATCAAAAGAGCCCCAGTTTGGCCATTTTAGATTGGGGTCTCTCTTAGTATAATTTCTCCAATTAACTAGGTACTTGCAAGTATGAGCTCCGTACATATTGTACACAGATCTGGCTAGAGTGTTAGTCAGAGGCTGGCTTTCTGACACTCTTTTGTTTCTGTTTTTGAGAGATTTTGTTTCCCATTTTAAGCTGAGTTTGTCAGGGATAAAAATCACCAGTGAACTTGTGCAGTGGGCCCATGTGCTGCTTGTGAGCTTAACTCCTCCAGGAGTCACCCCAGAGTCATTTCGGCTTATCTTACATGTCTTGGATTCTGCCTCCGGCAATCTAAGGCCACCGTGGCTGCTCAGGTCGCTGAATGGCCAGTTCTTATGTGTGACCCCCGGACAAACAAGTATTTTAATTAATGAATGGGTTTCCCTATGGGACCACTGCACAGTATGAAGACTAGGCCTCCACCACTCCCGTAAATTTCTCAGTCACCTGAGAAAACAAAAAACTGGCCGGGAGGAGTCTTATCCCTTTTCTTCAAAGCAAAGCTCTCATGTATTTTCCTCACTTTTATCCTGACAAATTCTATAAAGGCAGTTAAATTGAGGAAAAGTGTCAGATCAACCTCTTACCTAACCACTCAGCCAAGACCATTCAGTCCCCTACAACGGAGCAACCTCAGCATCTTTCATCCCAGCCCCGGGGTATTCCTTTTTTTTTTTTCCCCTAATCGAGCCCCCCCTACCCAGTACCTTTCCACTGGGTGGGTAATTCCCCTGGCATCTTTAAGCCAGCCCCCCACCCAGTATCTTCTACCTGGGTGGGAATTTCTCGGTATCTTTCAACCGAGCCCCACTCATTGTCTAGACCATGTGCCCTGGATGTTTCACCGGGGCCCCACCTAGTAACTTTCCTACTGTGAGGGGGCAGGTAACCTGCGTCACCGCCAAGTAAAACTCAGAATCTCAACCAATACGGGAGATTCGAGAACCAGTGGAGTCCAGTCGCAGGAAGGAAGTCCACTCTGGCTCACTTCATCAGTTGCCATAACTGTTGACTAAAAAAAGATGTACAACTTGAGAGCTGTGAGTTAAGCTTTATTCGGGGCTAAATGAGGACTGCAGCCCAGGAGGCAGCATCTCAGATAGCTCTGACAGACTGCTCCAAAGTGGCAGTGGGGAAAAGTCAATATATAAGGTTTTGCTGAAGGGAGTTCAATGCCATGAAGCACTCATTTACAAAAGGTTTGTGTTAGTCATGAGGATCTGATGTCACCAGGAAGGGAATTAGTGCTTCTCTAGATATGAGGAGACGCAAGGATTGAGATCATAAAATCTGTTCCTAAAAACATCCAACTATCTGAAGACCTGTCCCACCAGATTCCCTGGAGCACAGAGTGCCTCACTGCACCCTGAACTCCCTCAGGGATTGTTGAAGGTCAACAGCTATAGCAGCATGGTGTTCCATCTCTGTAGAGGGAGATGGTGAATGCCTTTGTTGTTTAGTCATTGGCAGTGCTCTTGGTAAGTGTCAATTTGTAGTGGACACGATGAAATAGCCTATGAAATTACCCAGCCTTATAAAAACAGACAACCTCACACCCTGGGCCTCTCTCACCTGAGATGGCCCATACTCTGTCTGTGGAATGTGCCTCTGAAAGAATCTACTTCTTAACCATCACTTTTTCTCTCACTGACTCCTTTCTGTGATGAGACATCAGGAAGTTTCCTGAGACCAGGTCTGTGAGCTCAGTTAAAAGGTCTTGGGTTCAAGTTCCAATCTGAGATATATGCATTCCATTTCAAATCCTTGTCCTACCACTTCCTCGGTCTTTTCTTGAACAAGTTACTTGATCTTTGGCCCTCAATTTTCTCATCTGTAAAAATGGTTAATTCTCACTTTTCATGATCATAATTACAGATAATCTATAAAGCAGTTAGCATGGTGCTTGACAGCAAGCTTTTAGTAAAAACTGTCATAATTGCTCTTTTATATTGATATGTCTACTGGTGTAGGTCGCCATTTTATGCAATTCCAATTTTTACCTCCTTCTCTTGAAGTAAGTAAAGATCCAACTATAACCCCTGTTTTGGAATGCAAATTCCTGCGTCCAACACCCAGTGAGGCCAAACAAACTGAAGTGTCAGAGTTTGGAGCAGAGGAAGGTTTTCGGCAGGGCCAAAGATGGAGAACGGATGGTTCACTCTCAAAAGTACCCTGAATTCCTCAATAGCTTTTGGGGAGAAATTTTTATAGACAAAATTTGGGGTGAGGGCTGCAGGATGTGTCAATTTCTTCTGATTGGTTGGTTGTGAAATAATGGTGGTGTTCCAGAAATCTTGTGCTCAGCCTGAAGTTACCATCCTCCACCTGGGTGGGGGGCCTTAGTTCCTTCAGAACTCAAGAGATATTGTTATGTGTATCTGATGAAGGACTAGGACTCTGCTTGGTTGTTGTTGAGTCGCTCAGCCCTGTCCAACTCTTTGAGACCCCATGGACTGCAGCACGCCAGGCCTTCCTGTCCCTCACCATCTCCTGGAGCTTGCTCAAACTCATGTCCATTGAGCCGATGATGCCATCCAACCATCTCGTCCTCTGTTGTCCCCTTCTCCTCCTGCCCTCAGTCTTTCCCAGCATCAGGGTCTTTTCCAATGAGAAGGCTCTTCGCATCAGGTGGCCAAAGGATTGGATCTTCAGCTCCAACATCAGTCCTTTCAATGAATATTCAGGGTTGATGTCCTTTAGGATTGATTGGTTTGATCTCCTTGCTGTCCAAGGGACTCTCAAGGGTCTTCTCCAACACCACAGTTCAAAAGCGTCAATTCTTCGGCGCTCAGCCTTCTTTTTGGTCCAACTCTCACATCCATACGTGACTACTGGAAAAAAACCATAGCTTTGACTAGATGGACCTTTGTTGGCAAAGTAATGTCTCTGCTTTTCTATATGTTGTCTAGGTTTGTCATAGCTTTTCTTCCGAGGACTCTGCTTTATGGATGTTCTATTGTTTCCTAACTGCTCTTCCTTTGTTTCTGCATTCCCTCACTTCCCTGATTAGCTGTTTGAATCTGCCCTCTGGGACTCATGGAAGGTCTCAGGGGATTCCCCAGTGGCTTAGAATCAGCCTGCCAAGCAGGAGACGAGGTTCGATCCCTGGGTCGAGAAGACCCCCTGGAAAAGGAAATGACAACCTATTCCAGTATTCTTGCCTGAAAGCCCATGGACAGAAAAGCCTGGAGGGGTTGCAAAGAGTCAGACATGACTGAGCACACCAAAGGCCTACTACGTCATTCTTTTAAAGATGGTGCTCTTCCCCTCCCTCCTGTCTCAGATCCACTGTGAGTCAGGAGCCAAGATGAAGTAGGTTTCTTGCTCAGAGCACACCTATTAATAGCTACCCTTGCCATGGTTGTATTTGTGAGACTTGTGTTTTTCAGTTTGGGTCTGAGCAAGAGGAACAAAACACTTGGAGCAGGTTCAGTGCTCAGGGGATTTTGCTGGTGATGGATCAGAATGCAAGTGCTTCTAGAGTTGAAGAAAGAATATGGGGTGAAATTAGGCCAGTTGCTCCCACATTTCTTTTTACCATAAACCATAGTACAAAATACAGTATACACATATATAATGGAAATAAAAATTTTATGTGAGCAATACTTGCCCTCACTAAATGCAACACATTGCTATTCTATTTTATCCTCTTCTGTGCCATTCTGTTGCATTTTATTCTCTTTTCTTCTATTTAATTTTTAATATCCTGTTTGAAAGTCACTAAATTGACTTCACAGCCCATTACTGGGTTCCAGTATGTGGTTTGAAAACACTGGGTTAGGAGCCATGTGAGTTTGAGAATTGGAGTAAAGAGAGGTGACTCGGGATTCTTGGCTTCAGACACAACAGAGATGGAGGGTGTATTATTTTGCTAGGGCTGCCATAACAAGGTATGACAGAGTGGGTGGCTTAAACAACAGAAATACATTTTCTCACAGTTCTGGAGTCTGGAAGTCCAAGCTCAAGGTGCTGGCAGAGTTGGTTTCTCCTGAGGCCTCTCTCCGTGCCTTGTGGATGGCCACTCTTGCTGCCTCTTCACATGATGGCTCCTCTGGTGTCTCTGCCTCTTTTTATAAAGACAGGAGGCTTCCTGGGGTAGAAGCCTGCCCTAAAGGCATTATTTTAACTTAACTGCCTCTTTAAAGACCTTATTTCCAAATATGGTCACATTCTGATATACCAGGGGTCAGGACTTCAACACATGAATTTCAGGGGGACACGATTCAACCCAAAACAGAGAGAGGGCTTGAGGATATAAGCCCTGCTATGGTTTTTCCATAGTATGAAAAGGCGAAAAGCTAGGAAACTGAAAGATGAACTCCCCAGGTCGGTAGGTGCCCAATATGCTACTGGGTAATAGTGGAGAAATAACTCCAGAGAGAATGAAGAGATGGAGCCAAAGCAAAAGGGAGTTGGTGATGGACAGGGAAGCCTGGCGTGCTGCAGTCCATGGGGTCGCAAAGAGTCAGACACAACTGAGCAACTGAACAATAACAACATGTCTAAAGAATTAAAGAAATATATGACAATAACGACTCATCAAATATAGAATATCAAATAAAAGCAATTTTTTGCTATCACTCCAAGAGATAGTGAAGGACAGGGAGGCCTGGTGTGCTGTAGTCCATGGATCGCAAAGAGTCAGATATGACTTAGTGACTGAACAACAACAACAAACTCTTTAAGGCAGAGGTTGATGGTGAGGCTGTAAGTGTTGGAAGGGGAGGGTGAGTCTTGCAAGGAGCACTTGGCACTTTGGGGTCCCTCTTCCCTCCCACCCTTGGAGGCTTGGAGACCCAGAGAGCAGCGTACTCCACCTTAGCTGATCCATATCTGGTCTGCATTTAAACCTGGAACTGTTTTGTTGTAGCTTCTTATTAAGATGGTGAAGACATAATCTGTTTTTATTCTGGAGTAAGGAGCTTGTGAAAATTTTTGAAAATTGACTTTCTTAACCAGCTAATCAAAGTGTAACAAATGAAACAGATTGGGAATGGGGAAATGAAGGGAAGCAAGATTCAATGGCAGGGATACGTTACCATAAAACTCCAGATGCAGGACTTTCCTGGTGGGTCCATTGGTTAAGAATCTGCCTTGTAATGCAGGCATTGCAGGTTTGATCCCTGGTTGGGGAACTAAGATTCCATGTGCCAAAGAGCAACTAAGCCCACATGCCGCAATGGAAGATCCCACATGATGCAACAAAGGCCTGACACAGTCAAATAAATAAGTAAACTTTTTTAAAAAGACATTAAAAAAAAAAAACTCCAGGTGTTCATGGAATGCCTAGCACACTTTGTCCTTATACATTCAGTAAGTACCTACTAGGTACAGTGAACCTTACGTTTAGTCAGAGAGGAGAAAGTATATAAAATTAAACCACAATCACAATAATAGTTGAGAAAAAAAATGCATCATTTTAACTTTGTGCAAAGCAACAATGCAGAAGTGCTAACAGTTCTTAGACTAAAGGAAAAATGAGAGCGTAAAGCATGTTACAAATAAATTACTGCTATCTTAGTGAAAAAGAGAAGTTGGTTAGGCTCAAGTCATAAATTTTGAATTTGAAAGAAAATATAAATGTCTGTGCTTGCTGATATTAATATCTAATGAATATTCTCACAGTGGCTTTTGGCTTATTGATCCATGTTTGAGTTAAGGTTCACTTATCATAAATGAGAACTGAAAGTTCTTTTGCATTTGGACAGGGAAGCTGTCTAGTCTCTATAAGCTATTTTTGAGAACATTTGAAGAACAGAATAACATTATCTTTGCAAACATTAACTTGCCACATCATATGAAATTATTCTCCTTAGACCACCTATATCAGGATGGTACCTCCTCAGTTTTCCAAATATGGAACAGCTCAATTTTCTCCCTGAGGTTGCATAAAAGCACCAGTGGCTCAAGCTAATGCCAAATTAAGCAATCAACTGGTTCTCAGTCAATACTGCTAAACCAGATGGGCTTTTTTAGTGACTTCAAGGCCAATTCTACCTATGTTTCAACCCCAATTTAATAGATTTGTGCATTGTTTGTCTTTCAGAAAGGAGAAAAAGAGAATTTTGTTTTGGGGGGGCTACTCTCTAGTGGCCATGAAATTAAAAGACACTTACTCCTTAGAAGGAAAGTTATGACCAACCTAGACAGTATATTAAAAAGCAGAGACATTACTTTGCTAACAAAGGTCCGTCTGGTCAAAGCTATGGATTTTCCAGTGGTTATGCATAGATGTGAGAGTTGGACTGTGAGGAAAGCTGAGCACCGAAAAATTGATGCTTTTGAACTATGGTGTTGGAGAAGACTCTTGAGAGTCCCTTGGACTGCAAGGAGATCCAACCAGTCCATCCTGAAGCAGATCAGTCCTGGGCGTTCATTGGAAGGACTGATGCTGAAGCTGAAACTCCAATACTTTGGCCACCTCATGCAAAGAGTTGACTCATTAGAAAAGACCCTGAAGCTGGGAGGCATTGGGGGCAGGAGGAGAAGGGAATAACAGGATGAGATGGTTGGATGACATCACCGACTCGATGGACATGAGTTTGAGTAAACTCTGGGAGTTGGTGATGGACAGGGAGGCCTGGCTTGCTGCGCTTCATGGGGTCACAAAGAGTCGGAGACAAGTGAGCTACTGAACTGAACTGAACTGAACTCTCTAGTCGCAGGGCGTGGCTTCTCATTGCAGTGGTTTCTCCAGTTGCAGAGCACGGGCTGCAGGGCGTGCAGGGTCAGTAGTTGTGGTGCGTGGGCTTAGTTGCTTCACGTCATGTGGGATCTTCCTGAACCAGGGATGGAACCTGTGTCTCCTGCTTTGGCAGTCGGTTCTTCACCACTGAGCCACCAGGGAAACCCAAGGGCAGATTTTTAATACCTCGCTTTTTTAGTATATATTTTATACCTTCCTGTTCATGGAAAATGACAAGTTAAATGAAAAAGAAATATAGGTCATCCATAACCCCACTGCCCACTCTCAGGCTTTAACATATTTCCTTCCAATACGTTTAATGGACTTTTATAATGAAAATTATTCTACTTAGAAACAAGTATTTTTATCCTGCATGACTTGCTCAAAATTAGATCCAACATTATTCCCATTCCACTTAAACTCTTCCTAAGCATCATTACACACATTATTCCTTATGTGTGTCCAATGTAAATAGGGAGATGGCACTCCAAGGTGAGACTCAAGATGAGAAGGTAGTCCAAAAAAAGTCAAGGGTAGATGAGAGACATGTTAAAAGGGCCAAGATGGTCACCAAGAGAATGCCCAACCAGAGCTGGTGGTTGATAAGCCTTGGGTTAGAATGTTGGGGAAGGGAGAGTTTGTTCTAAGAAATTGATGTCCCTATGGCATAGCTGCATGCTGCAGTTAGCCACTTCTCTTGAAGTCTCAAAGTGTATTGCTGAATCCAGTTTATCACCCTAAATCCCATGTTTTCTAGGATTACTTATTTTGGGGGGCCCTATGATCCCTCCATATAAGCTGGCTTCTGTTAGCAACCTCTTCCTCTCTACTGAGCCTACCAGACATATTTGTATGTATCATAACTCCAACTGTGGGCTTGAGTTAATGCTTTTTCTGCTTCAATGCCCATATGTATCAGGGCTTCCTTGGTGGCTCAGTGGTAAAGAACCCAACTGCCAGTGCAGGAAACATAGATTTGATCCCTGGGTCGGGAAGATCCCCTGGAGAAGGGAATGGCAACCCACTCCGGTATTCTTGTTTGGGAAGTCCCATGGACAGAGGAGCCTGGTGGGCTACAGTCCATAGGGTTGCAATAGAGTTCGACACAGCTTAGCAACTGAGCATGCACAGAAGCCCGTGTGTATCAGTTAATTCAAATCTAT